GGGGAGGGAGAGATATATGGATAGGGAGAGATATATGGATAGGTGGAGATGGAGCCTAGAGAGAGACAATTTCTTCATCTCTGTTGTATCTGTTCTGATGATGCCACCTTCCACATGGTGGCCTCAGAAAAGTCCACCTAGAAAGGAGTGAATGAACATGGTGGCTATGGATGACAGGCCAGGATGGAAGAGTAGGTGAATAAATGAGAGCTGAAGGTAGCAGAGAATTTCGCTTTCAATTTCCACCACTTCATTGTCTCCATCTCTGAGTCCTCCCTTCCTTGACATCTGTTTCCGTTTCTGGACATAGGCGGGCCGCCAATATCCATTACATACCCACCGACTCCCACAGTTACCTTGACTATACATCCTCACACTTTGCTTCCTGTATGACTCTATCCCATTCTCCCAGTTTCTTCATCTCTGTTGTATCTGTTCTGATGATGCCACCTTCCACATGGTGGCCTCAGAAAAGTCCACCTTTTTCCTCAATTAGGATTCCCAGCTACCATAGTCAAAAGAGCCCTTAGCTGTATTCAGCCCATTTCCCACACTTTTGTCCTCACCCTTCTCTTCCTTCCCACAACAGCAATAAGAACCCCTGGTCCTCACCATCCTACCAATCGGGTGCCACACCAGATACATATACTCCTTGGCTTCTTTGATAGCATTCCACACGGATTGTTCCCTCTAGATACTCTGATCCACTCCTCCTCCACTCACAATGCCTCCCCACAAACCCATGGCACCTTCCCGTATAATCGCTGAAGGTGTAACACCTGCCCATTTACCTCCTCCCTCCTCACCATTCAAGGCCCAGACATACCCTTCAGTGAAGCAGTGATTTACCTGTACTTCACTCAATCTAATTGACTGTATTCACTGCTCACAATGTGGTCCCCTTACATGTGCAAAACACCTATGTTCTGTCTGCAAAAATGACCCAGAGCTTCCAGTTGCCTGCCACATCAATACACCAAGTGTTCCCACACCAACATTTCTAGCCATGCTGTAGTGTTCCAGCAAGGCTCAGTGCAAGCTCAAGGAACAGCATTACATTTCAGCTTGGGGACCTTGCAGCTTCTGATACTCAACAGAGTTCAATAACTGTACAAGATGTAGAGCTGGATGAACACAGCAGGCCAAGCAGCATCAGAGAAACAGGAAAGCTGACGTTTCGAGTGTGGTCCCTTCTTCAGAAATGGGGGAGGGGAAGGGGATTCTGAAATAAGTAGAGAGAGAGGGGGAGGCGGATGGAAGATGGATAAAGGAGCAGATAGTGGAGAGGAGACGGACAGGTCAAGGAGGCAGGGATGGGGCCAGTAAAGGTGAGTGTAGGTGGGGAGTTAGGGTGGGGGTTGGTCAGTCAAGGGAAGACGGGCAGGTCAAGGAGGTGGGGATGAGGCTGGTAGGTAGGAGGTGGGGGTGGGGGTTGAGGTGGGAGGAGTGGATAGGTGGGAGAAAGGACAGACAGGTTAGGGAGGCGGGGATGAGCTGGGCTGGTTTTGGGATGCGGTAGGGAGAGGGGAGATTTTGAAGCTTGTGAAGTCCACATTGATACCATTGGGCTGCAGGGTTCCCAAGCGAAATATGAGGTGCCGTTCCTGCAACCTTTGGGTGGCATTGTTGTGGCACTGGAGGAGGCCCAGGATGGACATGTCTTCCAAGGAGTGGGAGGGGAAGTTGAAGTGGTTCGCAACTGGGAGGTGCAGTCGTTTGTCACGAACCGAGCGTAGGTGTTCCACTCCCTTACACTCACCTTTACTGGCTGCATCCCCGCCTCCTTGACCTGTCCGTCTCCTCTCCACCTATCTGCTCCTTTATCCATCTTCTGTCCACCTCCCCCTCGCTCTCTATTTGTTTCAGAATCCCCTTCCCCTCCCCCACTTCTGAAGAAGGGTCCAGACCCGAAATGTCAGCTTTCCTGCTCGGCCTGCTGTGTTCATCCAACTCTACACCTTGTTATCTCAGATTCTCCAGCATCGGCAGTTCCTACTATCTCTGAATCATAACTGTACAGCCTGATTCCGTTCTTCAATTTTTTTTACCCACAACCCCACCTGGTTGTATTATGACGAGTTACTTTTAGCACAGCCAATCTATTTTCTTCTACTCTCAGACCTTCAGCACCGACTACCCATTCTCTGATACCCTCAGCTCTCACTATCATTTATTCAGATTTTCTTCTGTCCTGGCCTGCCATCGATAATCCCACATTTATCTACCCCTTTCATATCTCTCTCTTCACCAACCTGCCCATCTCTTCCTTTCCCTACCCCACCCCAACCCCAACCTCATCTTCAGCATATATGCCAGATTTTCCTAGCTGCTATCAGTTCTAATGAAGAGTCACTGGACTCAAAATGTCAACGCTGCTTTCTTCCCAAAGTTGCTCCCAACCTGCAGAGTATTGCCAGCAATTTCTGTTTTTGTTTCAGATCTCCAGCATCAGCAGTTGTTTTATTTTGGCTGAAATGGAAGTTGGTTTGTTGGATAACTGAAATACCAGAACAGATTTGCAACTTGAAAATGAAACACTGCATATTTTTGAGCTGTGCTTTTTGAAGTAGCAATGCAGAGAATGAGACTAAGTGGCACCGAGTCTTTTGAGTTGAGGAAATTCAGCTTGTCGACAGTCTGTTTGGTTAAACTACAGAGTATTAAAAGCTGTAAGCAGCAGGGCAACAGGGTGACTAACATTCAGAGTCTGCAAAGAGAAAACATTCATTGCTCTCCCTGTCTCTTACTATCTCTTTTCCAGTGTGGGAAATAGGCTGACAAACTTAAAAAGCTTAAAAACAATTCTGAAACAGACCTCTTGGTCAACCACTAAAGTGAAAAATGACCATCACCCTACAGATGATGATAACTCAAAAGGATAATAACCTTCCACTTTGTGGTCTGGACTTTTGACCTTCAAAATTGTATATATTCTGTCTACATAACTTTTCTACTCATAGTGAATGTGGTAAATCATTTATCTGTTGTCTGGTTTAATTGTGACTTGAGTTTGTACGTATATTGAACTTGGAATGAGTTTTACGTATATTGAACTTGGAATGAGTACGGTTTAATACTAGATTAGAAATTCTTTTCTCTGCTTTTGTTAAAGTTAAGTGTGTTACAACGAATAGAGTTGTTTTCTGTTAATGATGAAACCTGATGTGAATTTCTTTTGTCCTGAATAGCAGCCAGTCAGACTAATTGGTAATTTTGGTGGTCTTGTTGGGTTTTTATACACTTATATATTTGGGACCACTTGTAGATCAGTGGGGCATGATTGTCATCATACACTTCCCAGTTAAATCATAACATCATATTGACAAATTTTATCATTCCTTCATGGCCACTGGATTAAATTCTTTGAACCTCTTATACATGCATTACTTCACAGAAAATAGGTGTCATTTGTATGCAGTTTTTATTGTTCATCCCTAATTGCCCTTGAACTGAGTGGTTTGCTTGTCATAGAGGAGGTGGTAGCATTGTGGTAACATCTCTGCATTTATAATCTGGAGAGCTGAGCTAATTCTCTGGGGATATAGGTTTAAATCCTCTGAAATTTCCCAGCAAAGCACTCAGTTCAAGACCAGTTAGGGGTGGGTGATAAATGCTGGCATTGTCAGCAAGACGTACATCCTATGAATTCAGGTTTGGGCTGACAGTGCCAAGTAACTTTTGTGCCACATGTACCAGGCAATAACCACTTACAACAGAAGAGAATATAACTACTGCCCCTTGACATTCAATGCCATTACCATTGTTGAAACCTCACTATCAACATTCTTAGGGAAACTGAACTGAACCAGCCACATATATACCATAGCTACATGAGCAGGTCAGAAACTAGGAAACCTGCAGTAAGTAACTCGCCTCTTGACTCTCAAAGCCTGTCCACTATTTACAAGGCACAAGTCAGGAGTGTGATCGAATATCCTTCATTTGCCTAGATGAGTGCAGCACCAACAAAACACAGGAAGTTCAAGAACAAAGCAGCATGCTTGTTTGGCACTTTATCCATAAATATTCACTCTTTCCTTCACCAACACTCAGTAACAACTGTGTGTACCATCTTCAAGATGTACTGCAGAAATTCAACAAAGCTCATCCAAACGCACAAACTGGCATCTACAGGGAACATGGGCAGCAGATATTCTCCTACCTACCATCTTGACTTGGAATTATATTGTCATTCCCTCACTGTCACTGGTTCAAAATCCTGGAACTCCCTCCCTAAAGGCATTTTGATTGTGCTTACACCAGTTCAACTGCAGCAGTTTCAAGGCATCACCTTCTCAAGGGCAACACGTCAATACATGCCAGCCCAGCAGTGACATCCACATCCCAGGAATTAATAATACAAAAAATAAAAATAATTTCACAGGGTCATCAAGAGTCATTCACATATTGTGGATCTGGAGTAACGGACCAAAGGATGGCAGATTTCAGCCCTAAAGGACATTGGTGAAACAGGCGAGCTTTTACGACAAACAATGATAGCTTCTAGGCGCAATCACTGATCCTAGCTCTCAATTCCAGATTTATTAATTGAATTTAAATTCTACTAGCTGCCATTACGTGAATTGAAACCATGCCCCAGAACATCAGCCTGGGCCTCTGTAATCCTCATCCAGTGTTATTAATATTACCCATCTTCATGTTTAAATCCCCCACCCAGAGACTCAAGCACATAATCCAGACTGACACTTCTATATTTTACTCAGGAACTGCCTGAGCAAAGCCCTTCACGAGGCATTAAACTGGAGATGTTGAAGCTTCACCTATCCTCTCAGGTATAATTCAGAAGCACAAGGGAATTATCATCATCGGCCTGGCCATATTTACCCCTCAACCATCATCACTTAAAAAACACAGATAAAGGTTTGCTATAAATGCTTTGGGATCTAGCCTGAATCTCACTTCATATCCAGCTCCACCCCATGTTACTATGTTTAAACACCACCCACCGACGCCCCCGAACCAAAGCATGAAACACGCACCTTGGTTAGCCCGTTTGAGCAGTTCGATTTCCTGGTGTAGTTTGCCCAGAGTTTCTGAGTGCTGCTCCTGCAGGAACTTGAGATTCTTCTCCAGGGCAACTACCCGCAGGTTTGGGTCTATGTCCCGCTGCTCGTACAGGGGGCTGAGCTGGTGCGGGACCTCACTTTTGGTTGTCTTTGCGTTGGGCGACAAGGGTAGATGCTTGACATTGTCCTGGAAGAAGGAGCGGGGGTAGCGGCTCCTCTGGACTGTCCCAACCCGGGACCACTGGGGCAGGTTACGGAGTGGGGGAAGGCTGGCACTCGACATGTCCCCCGGGGAGAGGGCTTCCATCAAACCCCTGCTGCACGCAGTGGCGCAGATCTGGCCAAGTCTGAAATTTATGTGTAAATATTTTTTTAAAAAACTCAAATGTGCTTTTTCTTCCCTTTCAGGTCATTCAACTGTCACACACCAGTCTGTGCTGGAGACCACAGTAGATGCAAGCTCCTGGTTGGCCTAACACTGGGCCTTGGTGAAGTCGCTGTTCTAAGGCCAACTCAGTTTTCCTTATCCTTTCCAAGCAGTAAATAATCCACAGGGTTCTCAGACGGCAAGAGTGCCAAGTCCTCCCCGAATCGCAGCTGTGGATCCACTGGAGTGTCCTGCTGCCTTCTCTCAGAGCTTCTACATCTACACTTGCAGCCGTGTTCCCTGCTGCCCACACAAGCTCTTGGCGCTGCTCTCAATGTCTCTGCCCTGGGGGCAGTAGCTGGGACACATCTCTACTTGAGAAATCTCTAATCCAATCTCTGCAGGAGAGGAGAAGCAAAGGAATTAATGAAGGGAAGCGAAGGCGATGGGATGTTTGAATGAGTGGGCTATTGTTTCTTATTCAATCATTCGTTCATTCCAGAGACACAATCGCTGAGCTTCAGCCTGAATACACTTAGTTACCTTAGAACATGCATAGCAGTGAAAAGGAATGAAGGGGAGACTGCACATTACAGGTAACCAGAGGACAGAAGGGAAAGTGGACCTTACAGGTAACAAGTGTCGATTCAAGAACAACACCAACCAAAGGCAAGAGATAAAGACAGTGGGATGGGGGGAGGGGAAGAGAAAGTTTGGTCACAAACCTAGCATTGAAGAAGCCAAGAGATAGTAAGAACTGCAGGTGCTGGAGTCAGAGATAACACAGTGTGGAGCTGGAGGAACACAACAGGCCAGGCAGCATCAGAGCAGCAGGAGCAGGATTTTCTGAAGAAGGGTCCTGACCCGAAACGTCAACTTTCTTGCTCCTCTGATGCTGCCTGGACTGATGTGTTCCTCCAGCTCCACACTGTGTTATCTTTGAAGAAACCAATGTTGGACGAGGCGGGTGGCGGTTTTGGGATGCATTCCTAATAGCGAGGGGGTCAGTTAGCTTGTGTAGTGCAGGATAAAGTCAACAGTGTGCATTTGTTCCCCATTCCAGGCTGGCCCTGCTGTACAGAGGGGAGGGACAAAGTGTAGTAGAGCAATAGAATTGGAGATTCAATAGTCAGGAGCACAGATAGGCACTTCTGTGGCTGTGAAAGCGAGTCCAGGATGGTATGTTGCTTCCCTGATGCATGAGGTCATGGATGTCTCTGAGTGGGTACAGGGCATTCTGAAATAGGAGGGCAAACAGACAGAAGTCATTATCTATATTGGCACAAATGACATAGGTAGAAAGAATAACAAGGTCCAGCAATGACAATTCAGGGAGTTAGTAGTAAACTAAAAAGCAGGACCCCTAGGGTAGTAATTTCAGGAGTACTCCCGTGCCACATACTACTGAGGCCAGAAACAGAGACAGAGTACAATTGAACGTGTGGCTAAGGAGCTGGTGAAGTGGGGAGGGCTTCAGATATGTGAATCATTGGGATGTCATCCAGGGAAGGTGGGACCTGTACAAGGAGATGTTGCATCTAAACTGGAGGGGCACCAATATCCTGACAGGGAGGTTTGATAGTGCCACTTGAGAGTGTCTAAACTAGTGTGGCAGGGGGTGCGAACCAGAGCAGCAGGTCAGTAAGAATAGAGACTGGGGTTCGAGCTGGAGTCTAAAGCAAACATATCCAAGAAGAACAGCAGTCAGGGAGAGGTTGTTAAGCTCAGTGGAACTGGAGGCTTGGACCGTATTTGCTTCAATGCAAGAAGTATAGCAGGTAAGATGATGAACTTAGAGCCTGGATTAATGCATGCAATTATGATGTTGTTGCTATCACAGAGACTTGGTTGAAAGACAGATAGGAGAAGCAGCCTAATGTTCCAAGATATCAATGTTTAAGACGAGGCAGAGAAAGAAATAAAAGAGTTGGGGGAGTAGGATTACAGGTTAGGGAGCATATCACAGCTATGTTGAGGGAGGACACCCTAGGGGAACCGTGCATCAAGGCATTATGAGCAGAGCTCAGGAAGAGGAAGGGTGCAATCATAATGCTGGGATTGTACTATCGACCTCCCAGCTGTCAGTGGGAGACAGAAAAAATGTTATATAAAAACAGAAAGAACTGTGGATACTGTAAATCAGAAACAAAAACAGAAGTTGCTGGAAAAGTTCAGCAGGTCTGGCAGCATCTGTGAATCAACGCTCGCTGGTGCCACATGCGTATGCTGCAATTGGGACTCTCAAGTAGCAAAGGACCGTTTCAATCCATTGACCTCTGGGTTATGGGCCCAGCATACTCCCGCTGTGTCATTTTGGTAGATACGTACTCTGATTTTGGAAAGGTGTGAAAATAACAGATTTGTTGTGGTGGATGATTTTAACTTCCCTTGACTATCAACTGGGACCCCCTTGGTGCCCAGAGTTGGGATAGAAATCAATTTGTTAGCTGTGTCCAAGAGGGATGTTTGAAAGTGTATGTGGATAGTCCAATGAGAGAGGGAGCCATACTGGCCCTAGTACTGGGAAATGAGCCCGGCCAGGTGATCAAAGTGTCAGAGGGGGAGCATTTTGGGAATATCATAGTGTCCCTACAGTGTGGAAACAGGCCCTTCGGCCCAACAAGTCCATACTGACCCTCAGAGCATCACACCCAGACCCATCCCCTACAACCCACCTAATCTACTCATCCCTGAACACTATGGGCAATTTAGCATGGCCAATCCACCTAGCCTGCACATCTTTTGGATTGTGGGAAGAAACTGGAGCACCCGGAGGAAACCCACGCAGACACGGAGGGAATGTGCAAACTCCACACAGATAGTCGCCCAAGGGTGGAAACGAACCCAGGATCCTGGCGCTTTGAGGCAGCAGTGTTAACCACTGAGTCACCGTGCCACCCCATAATTCCACAAGTTTTCAGACACTTACAGATAAGGACAAGAGTGGACCTAGGATGAAGGTGTTAAATTGGGGGAAGGCCAACTATAATGGAATTAAGCAAGAATTAGAGAATATAGATTGGGGAAGGCTGTTTGAGGGTAAATCCACATCTGACTGTTGGGAATCTTGTAAAGACCAGTTGATTAGAATGCAGTACAGGCATGTTCCTGTGAAAATGAAGGACAGGAATGGCTGGATTTAGGAACCGTGGATGACAGGGGAAATTATCAGCTCAGTCAAAAAAAGTAAGCATACCTAGGGTCTAAACACATAAAAACAAACTAAGTCCTTGAAGAAGATAGAGAACGTAGGAAAGAACTCAAAGGGGGAGTTAGGAGGGCTGAAAAAGGCTATGAAACGTTATTGGCCAGCAAGGTTAAGGAGAATCCCAAGGCATTGTATACATATGTTAGCACAAGAGGGTAGCTAGGGAAAGAGTAGGCCCACTCAAGTATAAAGGAGGGAAGGCTATGTGTGGAACCAAAGGAAATGGGTAAGATCCTTAATGAGTACTTTACAGCAGAATTCACCAAAGAGGAGGACATGAGGGATGTTGAGGTTAGGGAAAGGTTTGTGAATACTCTCAGATAGGTCAACATAATGAAGGAGGAAGTATTGGGTGTCTTGAAATGTATTAAGGCAGACAAGTCCCCAGGGCCAGATGTGATCTACCCCAGCATACAATGGCAGGCAAGGGAGGAAATATCTGGGGTCTTAATGGATATCTTTGCAGCCTCTTTGGCCTCAGGTAAGGTTCCTGAGGAGTGGAGAATGGCCAAAGTTGTTCCTTTGTTCAGGAGGGAAAGAGATAATCCAGGTAATTACCAGACAGTGAGCCTGATATCAGTGGTGGGGAAGCTGTTGGAGAAGATACTGTGAGACAGGATTTATTCACATTTGGAAGCAAATGGACTTGTTAGTGATAGACAGAATTGGTTTGTGTGGGGAAGGTTATATCTCACCAACTTGATTGAGTTTTTTGAGGTGACAAGAATGATTGATGAGGGAAGGGCAATGGATATTGTCTACAAGGACTTTAGTAAGGCATTTGATAAGGTACCTCATGACAGGCTGGTACAAAAGGTAGAGTCTCATGGGATGTGGGGTAAGCTGGCTAGATAGATACAAAACTGGATTAGTCATGGAAGACAGACAGTAGCAGTGGAAGGGTGTTTTTCAGAATGGAAATCAGTAACTACTGATGTTCCTCAGGGATCAGTGCCGGGACCTTTGTTGGTCATAATATACATAAACGATCTGGAGGAAGATGTTGGTAGTCTGATTAGTAAGTTTGTGGATGATACCAAAATTGGCAGAAAGTGAGGAGGATTGTCAAAGGATACAGCAGGGTATAGCTAGATTGTCAATAAGGTCCACTTTGTTAGGATGAATGGAGGTGCAGAAAAATGTATATGTCCAAAAGACATGGATGTCCTTGTTTATAAGTTACTGAAAGCCAACATGCTGGTACAGCAAACAACTAAGCAAGAGATTTGCTGCACTTTATTGCAACAGGACTTGAGGGCAGGACCAATGAAGCCTTGTTCCAATTATATAGAACACTGGTGAGGCTGCACCTGGAATGTTGTGTACACTTCTGGTGCCCTTGCTTAAGCAAAGATACGCTTTCCACAGAGGGCTGCAGCAGAGGTTCACCAAACTGACTCATGGAATGGGGGAACTGTCCTTTGAGGAAATATTAAGGAGACTGATTCTGTATTCTCTACAGGTTAGAAGACTAAGTGATCTCATTGAAATTTCAAGGAAAATCTTAAAGGGACATTTTAGAAAGGATGTTTCCCTTGGTTAGGAGGAAACGGGTGTGATTAGAACTACAGGACTCAGAATAAGCCATTTAGTCCTGAGATAGGGAGGAATTTCTTCACTCAGAGGATAGTGAATCTTTGGAATTTTCTAACACAAGGGAGCTCACTCACTGAGTTAGTTCAAGACAGAGATTGATAGATTTTGGATACTAATGACATCAGGGGATAAGGGGGTAACATAGGGAAATAGTGCTGAGGTAAATAATTAGCTTTGATCTAGAATGGTGGAGCAAGTTCAAGGGACAGAATAGCCTTCTTCTGCTCTTCAGTTCTGTGTTTCTAAGATGTTGGGTTTACATCTCTACTAAGCATCAAACACCAAGAATTCTAGTGGCTTGGTTCAGATGAAGAAAATGATTAGGGATAGGAAGCTGGGATGTTGACAGATCAGTAACTTGATGCTGACAGAAATGTCCAACAGGCCAGACCTAGAGTTGGGGGCTGTAGATAGGGAATGGGTTGGAGAAGTAATGTTGGGCGTCATCCTGTATCCACGAACCAAAGAAACCGCTCATGATTCAGACAAATCTCAGACGGTGTGTTATCCTCAACTATCGAATTGAACCTCATTCTCCCCTCCACACCTACTCTCCTGCCAAACTTATTCCAAATCACACAAACACCCTTCTCCAGTTCTCCCAGTGCAGCTGTGTGTGGGGAAGGGATTTAGGGTGAAGGGGGTATGTGGGTGTTCTACTTGAGGGAGACCCTAATAATTAAGTGTTCCAGTTTATTGGAGAGGTGGGGTAGGTGGTGGTTGTGGTCCACTTTGGGGGGCGGGGGGGTGATGCTGTTTGGTGGGTCCTGGGATTTTGGAGGGGCCCTGGGTTTTAGGTGTGTCTCAGGCTGAAGAGTTTGGAGGTCCCCAGGTTACAGCTGGCGTGGAGTGTGTTCCCGGGTCATGATGGAGCCCGGCTTGTGGGGGTGGGGAGTCCTCACGGCCAGGTCCCGGTGGGTGCGGGTTCCTGCCAGGTGATGGTCGTGGGGTCCCGATGGGAGGCAGTCCCAGTGGGATTGGGGTCCGGGTGTGGGGTAGGTCCCGGGTTGAGCTACTCACCGAGCCGGGCGGTTGAAAGCGGCCGGGCGGCGGTGGTTGGGCAGTCGCCGCGTTCCCAGGGTGACAGCCGTTCCCTAGTAACCGACCGCGTTACCATGGGCAACCGGAAACTCCCACCTGTGGACGGATGGAGGGGGTAGGAGTATCATGACATGCTGCACTGAGGCACTGGGTTTGGGAGGTGGTGTTATGGAGGGTAGGTGTGGCGAGTGATGGAAAGCGTGTGTGGGGGAAGCTAAAGGACTGCGGCTTCAGGAGCCCCCTCCCCCAACATCTATAGCGGGAACTTGGTACAATCCAAAATGGCGAGGGTGCCCAGGTCATGTGCGGAGCCGTGCTGTCGCGCCTCCTAGCGGCCTGGAGGAGCGGCAGTATTTGGGAATTGGAGGGCGGTCACTAGGAGGGGATGGGAGAACGACTCATTGCTCTGGTTTTGGGCATGCTACCACTTATTGGCTTGCATTATGGTCCTATGCTACCAGCTCTACACCACCCTATCTCAATAATGACAACATATCTCCTCCTGTGCCTGTGTGATCACCTCTCCTTCCCTCCAGGATTCCATGTTTAGCCTTTAATTCCTCCTGCAAACCATGCTCCATATTGACTATATCCATCAGAGTGGAGCCAGTTTTCCCATCTACCACAATGGCTTTACCTCTCTGCTGCTACCCTGGATTCTAGCTTGGGCATTGTGCACCATCCTACAAATAGCTCCAAAACTAAAAACATTTGCGCATCATTATCTGTTCATAATCTTCTTTCTGTGTGCCTGGTCAATGTTATTTGTGCGCATCCATGATATCCTGTTACAGCCTGAGCTGAAAAGCTAATCTATACCCATGTCACCATCTGACCTGTTCTGAAGCAGGGTCACTGGACCCAAAAATTTAACTCTTGTTTTCTCCACAGGTGCTGCCAGATCTGCTAAGTTTTTCCAGCAATTTCTGACTTTGTTTCTGAATTCCAACGTCTGCAGTTCTTTCATTTTTTTTTAAACACAATGTAGAGCTGGAGGAACACAGCAGGCCAGGCAGCATCAGAGGAGCGGGAAATCATTTCTGGAGAAGGGTCCTGACCTGAAACGTCAACTTTCCTGCTCTTATGATGCTGCCTGGTCTACTGTGTTCCTCCAGCTCAACATGGTGTTATCTCCGACTCCAGAATCAGCAGTTCTTACTATTTCTAATTTTTTTTGTTCCTTTTCTGTGCTTCTGAGAATCTGAGTTGCCCCTACCTAAGCTGCAGTTCTTTCAGGATGCAGCCAACCAACCCACAAAGTCGTGCTCACCAACAACAATCCATCCCAACCTTCACTTAATACAAGGCTTTAAAATAGTCATCCTCTTCAAAATCATTTATACTCTCAATCTTTAATCCTTACCTATTTTAAGGTTGCCAAGTCAGGTTGGATGAATTTCTGGAAGATGCCAAATACCCACTTAACCCCAACTGTCCTGCTATTGGCTGCCTAACAAGCACTGACTATACTTCTCATCTAAGCAGGTTGCGAGACCACCTGAAAGGACTACAATACCGGTTGATAAATTAGAACCAGGGAAGTGTAGACCTGATGGGAAGCTGCAGCAGTGAATAATGGGAGGCAGCAGTTGTTCAACCTGACTTATATTTCCAGAAGGTACACAATAATGTTACAAAATAGCAGCTAGGCAATTGGTTGGTGTGTTTCAAGAGATTTTGCCCTCTAAACTGTGGCAGTGTTTTAAACACAGTATGGGAATCCATAGAGCATTGTATCAAATTTACAGGTTACTTAAATTATAAAAAAAACAATCAGGATTGATATAATGAAGTGAATTAATAAGAGTATTAACACTTAGCATTAATCAATAGTTTATACAAGATGCTAACTTGATTCTACGAAGGGGATTGGATCCAGTGCCATGTGGGAACCTGGGGGAAATGTCTTCAGCTGCTCAAGCTTGAACTCAGGATTCCTGACTTTGAGGGGCAGGTGGAGTCACTGCGGAACATCAGGTTGGATGTTTTGTAGAACATACATTCCATGAGATGGTCATGCCACAGACAGAGTGGACAGTGTTCAGGGAAGATAGTGACATTATGGTATTGTTACTGGACCAGTAATCCAGAGACCAAGGCTAATGTTTGAAATTTGAATCCATGCTCCCAGAACGATAGAGTGTCATCAAGACCCAGCTCCCATCCTCCCGGCTGCACATCTCATTCCCTGTTTTCTTTGACAGAGGAAGGTCGTTTTACTCCTGGTCAGAAACCAGAAGACTTTAAAACTATAAAAAAAGCAGTATAAACTGTTCTATCATCAGAAGCAGAGGATGACGACAAGGCGGAAATGTGTTGATGGAAACCCCAAGGCTGTCCTCCAGCACAACCATGAGTCAATTAAAAGCAAAGCACTGCAGATGCTGAAGATCTGAAATAAAAACTAAGTGCTGGAGAAGCTTAACAAATCTGGTACCATCTGTGGAAAGAGAAAATTTAACACTGGGTTTAAATGATTCTGGGATAACTTATTCAGAATTCAGCCAGCCATTAGTGCCTCATTCTGAAGCTTACCCTGCATTTTTATTATTTAGTTTGTTCAGCAATAAAGAGTGCTTAGTAATCTTACCAGTTTTTTTTTCTGGTTATTTACTCTGGTCAATTTAGACAAGTAATAAAAGCTTACTAACAATGATCCTACATCACTTCCCACAAAGCACTTTCAGACATTCTTACACGAGCAGTGTTCAGTGAAAGTTGCTGGCCACGAGGAGGAGTATTTTCTCCAGACTCTATGGAACTGGAGAAGTTTCAAGGGTACCTTTCATGCCTCTCTCAACTTGTCATTCCTCACATGGTTCTATACAATGACTGTTGTCTGCTTTTTTGACTCTGGCAAGCATCACAATTGAACTTAATGCTGTTTTCATCTCGTGGTCAGGGGAGTAAACACAGGCTGACCCTACCTTTGCTCATCTGTCTGGATATTGAAGGTGACTGTTACAACCTAACGTTGTCTCTGCTCAGATCCGACAAGCTAGGTATCAGAATTGGCACAAAAGAGAATTCCTTCATTCCCTACAGGACTTTAAATTGGGATAAACACAGAAAGAATGTTCCTGATGACCAGGAAGTCCAGAACCAGGATACAGGTAGGCCATTTAAGACTGAGATGAGGAGAAATTTCTTCACCCAGAGTGTGGTGAATCTATGGAATTTTCTGCCACAGGAAGTGGTTGAGACCAAAATAATGAATGTTTGCAAGCAGTTGGATATAGTTCTTATGGCTAAAGGGATTCAAGGGTATGTGGATAGAAAAGGAACATGGTATGAAGTTGGATGATCGGCCATGATCATACTGAATGGTATAACAGGTGCAAAGGGCCGAATGGCCTACTCCTGCTCCTACTTTCTATGTTTCTACAACGTATGCCTTAAGTATCCTCAAACATTTTGCTATGAAATGCTGTAAGTATAACACAGCAGGCAATTTTAACACAGCAAGCTCCCACAAACAGTATGCAGAATAACAACCAGTTAAATTGTTTTTAAGTGAAGTTTGTTGTAGTCATAACGAGGACAGCTTTACTTCGAATAGCACAAACTCTTTACAAAAATCCACGTCACCAAGCACGCGAGCAGGATATTTCATCAGCAGGCATACTGCTGCCAGAGCTGCACTTCCTTTGGGAATGCCAACGTGGATTATGGGCCCACGTTCTGGGGTAGGGCTTGCATATACAACCTGATTTGGACAGGAGAGTGAGCAAGCTGGCCCCTGCGATATTCACTCCTGCAGGATCAGGCACTTGAGCTCAGTGTAAACAAAAAAGAGCAATTAACTGATCTTTTGGAAAAAAAATTTACTCCAGTGACAATTTCACTGATACATTATTAAAAACACAGATGCCCAGGTAACATAAAGGATATTGAGAGTCACCCTCATTAGGCCATGAGCAAACACAGTATGTGAAATAGAAACAAGGACTGTAAATAAAGTACTGAATTCTTAATACATATCTTTATATCCAAAAAAAAATGCTAGGAAAAGGTCCCATATTGTTTTAAAGTGATCAAGAAGAGAGCTAAACAGTGCAAGTCCTCTATTTTTCCACACATTTAGCTTCTTAGTGAATCCATTAGAAGGCTCCTTGGTAGATACAGACTCCATGCTGGAATGAGTACACTCCTCCCCGACCGGGTTATGCTGCAGAAAAACAGGCCTGCTTCACACTTTGTGCCCACGTGTTGAGGAGTGCAGTGACTGAGTGCTTGTCTGGCAATTGCAGTAGCCTGGATGTCATTGCACGGTGAACCATCTGCAGGAAAGGGTTAGCTTCTGCAAGTGAACAGAAAAACAAGTTTGTTTGGTGTCACAATGCACATTGTGAAAGGCTCAGAGTGCTGCTACAGGCTGCATTCTTATCCATGAAAGCATTGACTGTTTGCTGACACTGGCAATTCAGCGCTGCACACTTTGTAAAATTATTTGATTTTTAGTAATCAAATTTCACTTTTGGCTGAGAACGGAACCACAGCTCAGGAACCATGGAATCTCGTGCTGCCTGATGCCTTAGAATGACAGACAAGCAGAGTCCCAGACATCATTGAACAGGGCTTTCATTGAAGAGCCTGATCACACCCATCTACTGAGATTCAATCCCATGTCAGTATCACAAGGCAACAATCAGAGAATAACCCACATGAATAAATGCACATCAAAATCATTCATTACAATAAAATTGAGTCATAGTTGCTGTGCCGTCAAGCCAGCATCTGCCTCTGTTGACACTGAATGACCAATCTGTTTTTGGTGATGTTGAATGAGGGACGAACATTGATTAGAATAACATAACTCCCCTGCCCTTTTGAAATTGAACATGGGGATCTTTTACAAAAACAAAGTTGCCGGAAAAGCTCAGCAGGTCTGGCAGCATCTGTGAAGGAGAAAACAGAGTTAACGTTTCGGGTCCGGTGACCCTTCCTCAGAACTGATGGTGGCTGGGAAAACGTCAGTTTATATGCAGAAAATAGGGAGGTGGGTGGGGTAGGGAGTAAATGATAGGATGGAGCCCAAAGAGAGAGAAAGACAGTTGGACAGACAAAGGAGTTGCTAACGATCAGGCTCGGAGGGTGAATAGTTGTAAATGGGGACTGTTAGTGACTAACAGGGGGTGTATAATGGCAGGCTATGTGGTAACAAGGCCAGACCGGGCAGACCCATTGTTTCAGCCTGCTCGTGCCCCACAGGACTCATCTCTTCCTACCTTGACTCAGTCTTCTCCCCCCGGTCCAATCCGTACCCACATACATCCATGATTCATCTGAAGCTTTATGCTGGTTTCAAAACTTCCAGTTTACTGGCTCCAGCCACCTCCTCTTTACCATGGACGTGCAATCCCTTTACACGTCCATTCCTCACCAGGAGGGTCTTAGGGCTCTCTGCTTCTTCCTGGAGCAAAGACCTGAACCATCCCCACCCACCACCGCCCTTCTCCGCTTGGCTGAGCTTGTTCTCACCCTCAACAACTTCTCTTTCAACTCCTCTCATTTTCTTCAGGTAAGAGGGGTGGCCATGGGTACCCACATGGGCCCTAGTTATGCCTGTCTCTTTGTGGGGTACGTGGAACATTCCTTGTAGCAGTCCTATTCTGGCCCCCACCCACAACTCTGTCTCCAATACATCAATGATATCATCGGTGCTGCTTCCCTCTCTTGTCTGGAGTTGGAAAACTTCATCAATTTCGCCTCTGATTTCACCTGGTCTATCTCTGACTCCTCCCCTCCCTTCCTCGACATTTCTGTTTCCATTTCTGGGGATAGACTGGCCACTAATATCCATTTTCAACCCACTGACTCCCACAGCTACCTGGATTATACATCCTCACACCCCACTTCCTGTAAAGACTCCATCCCATTCTCTCAGTTCCTCCGTCTCCGTCGCATATGTTCAGATAAGGCCAACTTCGACAAGGGAGCCTCCGAAATGTCCACCTTCTTCCTCAGCTGAGGATTCCCCAGCTCCGTTGTCGACAGGGCCCTCAACCAGGTCTGACCCATCTCCTGCACTTCTGCCCTCACCCCTTCTCTTCCCTCCCACAACAGCGATAGGGTTCCCCTCATCCTCACCTACCATCCCACCAGCATCCACATCCAGAAGCCATTTCCGCCACCTCCAGCAAGATGCCACCACCAGACACATATTCTCCTCCCCTCCCTTGTCCGCCTTCCGCAGGGACCGTTCTCTCTGGGACATTCTGGTTCACACTTCCTTCATGCCCAACACCTCCCCACAGCCCTACGGCACCTTCCCCTGTAACCGGCAAAGGTGCAACACCTGCCCATTTACCTCCTCCCTCCCCAGTATCCAAAGGCCCAAACGTATCTTCCAGGTGAAGCAACACTTCACCTGCACATCCCAGAATCTAGTCTACTGCATTCGCTGCTCACAATGTGGCCTCCTCTACATTGGGGAAACAAAGCAGTTGCCAAGTCTACGCTTAGCAGAACATCTACGTTCTGCTCGCAGAAAAGGCCCTGAACTACCTGTTGCCTGCCACTTCAACACACCACCCTGCTCCCTGGCCAACATCTCTGTCTCTGGCTTGCTGCAGTGTTCCAGTGAAGTCCAACGCAAGCTGGAGGAGCAACACCTCATTTTCCGCTTAGGGACCTGACAGCCCTCCAGACTCAACATTGAGTTCAATAATTTAGAGCCTAAACTCTCCCATGTCCCAGCCCCTCACCCCACACACATGGCCTTGTTACCACATAGCCTGCCATTACACATCCCCTGTTGTTAGTCACTAACAGTCCCCATTAACAACTACTCACCCTCCCAGCCTGATCGTTAGCAACTCCTTTGTCTGTCCAAATGTCTTTCTCTCTCTTTGGGCTCTATCCTATCATTTACTCCCTACCCCACCCACCTCCCTATTTTCTGCATATAAACTGACGTTTTCCCAGCCACCATCAGTTCTGAGGAAGGGTCACCGGACCCGAAACGTCAACTCTGTTTTCTCCTTCACAGATGCTGCCAGACCTGCTGAGCTTTTCCAGCAACTTTGTTTTTGTTCCTGATTTACAGCATCTGCAGTTCTTTTGGTTTTTATTGGGATCTTTTATCTCTGGGACAAAAGGGATGGAACTCCTACCCTAATGGCTGGTGTATGTACTGCAAATGGACTACAGTAGTTCAAGAAGGAAACTCACCACCACCTTCTCAAAGGATGGGTAATAAATGCTGAAACAAAAAAAAGTGATTGCATGAATGTGTGAAAGAGAGAGATTCTCCAGTCACTTAGCCTAAAGCGTGTGTCAATGCTATATAGACTTTGAAAAAAAACTAAAGATCTTTGCTTGAAAAAGCATCAATTGTGAAATGACTACTTTTACCACATTATTCCCAGGAACTGATAGATTTCTCTGCAAATATCAGTAAAGGCAATGAAACAGCACATTTATGTCCAGTCTCCACTGTTCCAAATTTCATTACTTTGACAACTTACATGTTCATGGTAGACCTTTATGATAGTTTCAATGAGACTCTCCCTCGTTCAATATAAATTAGGAGCAGGGGGTAGGCCATTTAGCCCCTTGAGCCTGCTGTACCAATTAATAAGATCATGGCTGATCTACTTGTAACCTCAAACCCACAATGCTGCCAACACCAATAACATTCCAGCCCACTGCTGATCAAGAATGTATTCAGCTCTCCCCTAAAAACGTTCAAACATTCCGCTTCCACCACCTTTTCAGGAAGAGAATTCCAAAGACTTGTGACCCTCAGAGAATTAAATTCTCATCTGCCTTCGATCGGCAATCCCACATTGTCAAAGTCTTCGTGAAAGTCAGTAGCTCGGATTGGGGATGCAGCAGTTCGTTAGCTCGCAAACTGAATCCCACATTGTACATTTTCCCACAAGAGGGAACATCCTCTCCATATTCATCCAGTCACGAAGCCTTAGGATCTTATACATTTCAAGCAAGTCGCCTCTTACTCTTCTAAATTCCAACAGATAAAAGCTCAGCCTGTCCAACATTTTCTTGCCACACAACGTACCCATTCCAAGTCTGGCAAACCTCTGAACTACTTCCAAAGCAGTTACATGCTTCCTTAAATCAGGTGATCTATACTTTACTGCACTCTCCATTCTGTTTTTAAATTCATCTTGATTTTTTATTAGTCAACACTAATGCTTTGGAGAAGTACATTAATTGTTAGCAGGAAGGGAAAGCTAACTGGAGATTCAAAGAGAGATATAAATAGACACGTCATCAACAGTGCTACCAAGCAGCACCTGCTCAGCGATGCCCAGTTTGGGTTCCATCAGGGCCACTCAGCTCCTGACCTCATTACAGCCTTGGTTCAAACATGGACAACACAGCTGAATTCCAGAGGTGAGGTGAGAGTGACAGCCCTTGATATCAAGGTATGCATTCGACCGAGTGTGGCATCAAGGAGCCCTCGTGAAACTGGAATCAATGGGTATCAGGGGGCAAACGCTCCGATGGTTGGAGTCAAACCTGACACATAGGAAAATGGTCGTGGTTGTGGGAGGTCAATCATCTTAGGACATCTCTGCAGGAGTTCCTCAGGGTAGTGTCCGAGGCCCAGCCATCTTCAGCTGCTACATCAATGACCTTCCTGGACCATAAGGTCAGAAGGGAGAATGTTCGCCGATGATTGCACAATGTTCAGCACCATTCGTGACTCCTCAGGTACTGAAGCAGTCCACGTTCACATGCAACGAGTTCTGGACAATATCAAGGCTTGGGCTGACAAGTGGCAAGTGAGATTCGCGGCACACAAATGCCAGGCTATGACCATCACCAATAAGAGACATTCTAACTACCACCCTTGACATTCAATGGCGTTACCGTCACGGAATCCCCCACTATCAACATCCTGGGGGTTATCATTGACCAGAAACTCAACTGGACTTACCACATAAACACAACGGTAACAAGAGCAGCCCAGAAGCTAGGAATACTGCGGTGAGTAACTCACCTCCTGACTCCTCAAAGCCTGTCCACCACCTACAAAGCACAAGTCAGGAGTGTGATGGAATACTCCCCACTTGCCTGGATGAGTGCAGCCCCAACAACACTCGAAGTTCGACACCATCCAGGTCAAAACAGCCCGTTTGATTGGCACTACATCCACTAGCATCCACTCCCTCCACCACCGACGCTCAGTAGCAGCAGCGTATACTATCTGCAAGATTCACTGAAGAAATTCTCCAAACAGCACCTTCCAAACCCACAACCACTTCCATTTAGAACGACAAGGGCAGGAGATATATGGGAACACCACCACCTTCAAGTTCCCTTCCAAGCCACTCACTATCCTGACTTGGAAATATATTGCCGTTCCTTCACTGTCACTGGGTAAAAGTTCTGGAACTCCCTAAAGGCATTGTGGATCAATTCACACCAGATGGACTGCAGCGGTTCAAGAAGGCAGCTCACCACCACCTTCTCAAGGATAACTAGGGATGGGCAAGAAATGCTGGCTATCCAGTGACGCCCACATCCCACATCCCACAAATGAATAGAAAAAACAACATTGAAACAGTGGTAGTGGGTTAAGAGTTGCTTGATTGTAACATGCAACTCTTGTAAATAAATGCTTATAAAAATGTGTTAAAGATTGGCACACTTCTATCCTTCACCAAATAATTCATTATAATATAAATCCATAAATGTTTTACAGAATTTTTTAATAGAATCCCTACAGTGTGGAAACAGGCCCTTCAGCCCAACAAGTCCACACCGATCCTTGCAGCATCCCAACCAGACCCATCCCCCTATAACTCACTTAATCTACACATTCCTGAACACTACGGGCAATTTAGCATGGCCAATCCACCTAACCTACACATCTTCGGACTGTGGGAGGAAACCGGAGCACACAGAGGAAACCGACGCAGACACGGGGAGAATGTGCAAACTCCATACAGATAGTCGCCAGAGGGTGGAATCAAACCCGGGTCGCCGGCGCTATGAGGCAGCAGTGCTAACCACTGAGCCACCGTGTGTACAAGGAGGAATGCCATCTGCAAGGAGGGAGTGATCTGTCTCTTCAAACAAATACATCCTGTATTATAACACATGAGGAGTCCCACAATCCTCTTACCATACTGTTGGGAGTCATCTGTCCACTGAGGGCTCTGGTCTGGATAATCAGCTGGAACACTTAGCTGCAGTGGGGGCACACTAGGCAGACTCTTGTCATCTGGCAGGAAAAGATATATCAATATTAGGCCAAATAATCAGCAATAATCTACTCAGACCTGAAAAAATCATGTTGCAATCACATCACATCCTCTCAATCACAAAACTAGTCAATCTTTTGAAGGCAAAACAGTTTTAATCATTTCAAAGCTGAAATCAATTATATTTAAATTGTCACTGAGTACTGATCAGAAGGGTACCAGAATTCGTCTCCACTCACCTAATTTACATATGAGATGGACTGTTCCATTATTACTGCAGTGGGATGGGTCCAAATTCACCAGGAATTTCGGATTTAGCCGCGCAACCTCACCCTGTAAAACATTGGGAATGGTCTGCCTCTCATCCTCGTCGTGTTTGCGTTTCCGTGGCGAGATCAAAGGGGCCCTGTAAGGAAGAGGTCATCAGTGTTTAGTTGATTATGATGATGAGCCAAGCACTGCTGCACTTTGAATCTTTTTCTGGAACTCCCTTTGCTTCTTGCAGATTAAAATCTGGTCAACACAGCATCATGCTATAAGAGTCATGATTGTTTGCAGATGACACGGAGATTGGTGGAGTTGCTGATAGTGCCGATGATTGTGAAAATATACAACAGGATATAGATAGACTGACGACTGGGGCACAGAAATGGTGGATGGAGTTTAATCCAGACAAATGTGAAGTGATGCATTTTGGAGGATCAAATTTAGGTGTGAATTATACTGTAAATGGCAGAACCCTTAGGAACACTAACATACAAACGGATCTGGGCATGCAGGTCCACAGTTCCCCGAAAATGGCAACAGAGGTGGCCAAAATGAATAAGAAGGCATATGGCACACTTGCCCTCATCAGCTGCGGCATGGAGTACAAGAGTTGGCCAAACATGTTGCAGCTATATAAAACCCTTGTTGGGCCACATTTGGAGTAGTGCGTGCAGTATTGGTCACCACATTACCAGAAGGACGTGGAAGCTTTGGAGAGAGTGCAGGTTCACCAGGATGTTGCCCAGTCTCGAGGGCATTGGTTATGAGAAAAGGTTAAAAAGACTAGGATTATTTTCACTGGAAAGACAGAGGCTGAGAGGAGACCTGATAGAGGTTTACAAAATTATGACAGGCATAGATAGGGTGGATAGTCAGAGGCTTTATCCCCAGGGTTGAAGTTTCAATTACAAAGGGGCACAGATTCAAGGTGAGAGGGCAAAAGTTTAAGGAGATGAGTGAGGAAAGATTTTCAAGCAGAGTGTGGTAGGAGCCTGGAATGCACTGCCAGAGGTGGTGGTGGAAGCAGGCATGTTGGCAACATTTAAGAGGCATCTGGATGGTTACATGAATAAGGAGGAATAGAGGGATACAAACTGAATAAGAGCAGAAGGTTTGTTTTTAGTTTAGTCAGGGCATGATGATCAGTACAGGCTTGGAAGGCCGAAGGGCCTGTTCCTGTGCCATACTTCTCTTTTGTTTATTTTGTTTGGTTGTTATATATTCCCCACTGCTGATCAATTATGATCTTCCGCTGTGTTCCCACAGACATGCTCACATGACTGATCATCATGTGTGATCTGGCCAAGTGTTTTAGCCACTTCCCTCAGCTTCCAGTTATGACTTGGGATACTGAATACAGTTCAGTATTACTTCCTCTCCAGCATCAAGAGACAAGGAATGGCTCTGAGCAGGCAGGGTTTCCCAGCTTCCAACCATTTATTTACAAAAGACTGAGCCTGTCGTTTTCTATCAGTCTCTTTCTTGTCCTGGCCTCTGCTTGGTGACTGCCCATTACAGTTCCAGCCTCGGCTCAAGCCCTTCAGTGAGCAGGGTACGGACAGGACCTGTGGCAGTGACTCGAGGTACTGCTCATCATTACCAACACCAAACCAGTCAGTATTAATGGACAGGTCAACTTGATAACAGGATAAAAATATCCCTATCATGACAACAGGTAGCTCAGGCATAAAGAAGCTAGTCACCATTCCTTTGGACACTGCTTTCCAATGAAGTTACTGCCTAAAACATTGCAAAATGAGAAACCAAGATTTTAACAACAGGAGTCAGGAGCAAGCTTGGCAGACAATGGCTGGTACTTTACAATGCTGGGTTAGGATGTGGTTAGAGAGACAATCAGCAGACTGCATCAGCAAAATTCCAACAATTGATATACAAAGCATACATCCCTCTTAATGTTCTCCCACCTTTTCAAAACAGCAGTCCAAGATCCTCCTCTTTCAAACTTCATCAGCCCACGCTGAGATTCTCAAACTAAATACGCTGAACTATTTACTAACAGGAACCCATGGCCGCTTCTTCAGACTCTTTCTTAGCTAGTGCTCACTCTGAGACTTTAATCCATATTTCTAAAATTCATTCTGTTTTCTGTGAACTTTAAACAGTGACATCAATTCCAGCAGAATAACACAAGGAGGGAACCGACTGGATAACTGCCTCATCCATCATGTCTGGAAGCCATATTGTTGTCAGTGACTGACAAGACTTTTATACATTTAATCCATATTAGGGAATGATCTCCCACTCATCTTGTGAAAGCATAATTTTATCATACTGCAATTGGTATAGTTTCAATCATGAGTTCATGACTAAACTGAGAGCACAAGTCCCACCTCACTTTTCGATTGCTGGGTGACACAATGATGACATGTGAAGCAAGCAATTCACACAGCGAGTGGTTAGGATGTGGTATACAGTGCTTGAGAATGTGGTTCAATTGAGGCATTCAAGAGTGAATTGGATTATTTGTAAAGGAAGAACGTGAACAGTTATGAAGAGAAGATAAGGAAATGAGGTGCATTGTTCATTTGGAGAACCCAGATTGACACAAAAGGAGCAAATGACCACGTTTTGCATTGGAATAATGCTGAGATTGCTCAATAAATCTAAACTGCCCAGCAGGCCTCGTACCTTGTCCAGACAGAAGGACATTTTCCAAAGACTATCGAGATACTCCTTCCAGACACTAAAATCCCACGGTGCAGAATCTTTCCCCAGAATTCGTCATGTTTGCTCCCCCATAATGAACTAGCTTCATTATGCCTGCCTTAATGCAAAGGCCAAAATTCAATACAGTGCTCCAGATAGTTTCACTAAAGCCAGGTACATCTTCAACATCACTTTGCTGGCAAAAATCATTTTCCAATATCACATATTTCATTTGCTTTCCTCACTGCTTGCAAATAAATAATCCACTAGTTTGAATGACTTCTCCACCTGAACATCTGAATCTCTTTCCTGCTCTGTTATTTCCAGTTTGATTTTTGTTCCACAATCCACAATTCTGGCCAGTGACTGAGTCTAGTCAGATCCCTACAGATTACTACGCATTGAGTAGCATCATTACACAGTGCTGCCAATCTAAATTCCGACAACGTTCTGTCACAAAGATTGACAAACAGTGGGCCCCACGGACCCTAAAAATTACTTCTGCTCTGATGCATCACTGTACCCAGTGGTTCTTTTATGCCTATTGTGTAAACATGCAGGTGTAGCAGGTGTGAAGATGACAAATTGTATGCTGGTCTCCATAGCAACAGGATTTGAGTTCAGAGGCAGAGATGCCTTGCTACATTGTACAGGAACTTGGAGAGATCACACGTGGATATTTTGTACAGTTTTCTTTTGAGGAAGGATGTTCTGACTTTGGAGGGAGTGCAACAAAGGTTTACCAGATTGATTGATTCCTGGGATGACAGGACTGACGTATGGAGAGAGATTGGATCAGTTTGGACTATATTCAGTGGAGTTTAGAAGAATCAGAGGGAAATTTATAGAGCCCTACAAAATTCTAACAGGACCGACTTTCCATGTTTATTTATCAACACAACAACCCAGATGGAATCTTCACAATCTACCTCATTTGCACACATCATGTTTTGTGAGAATTGACTAGGGCCTTTCTGAAATCCACATTTGTTCCTTTGTAGGTTAAAATTAATTATACTGCACATATTCTTGTACATTGGAGTTAAATCATCTTATTGATAATATTGACAGAAAGCATTAGCTTTCTGTACCCACTGGGGGAGATATCTATACAGGACTTTGAATTACTAACTCATCCAGGTGTACTGTCAAGAATCAATGAAAATGAGCCTATTTATTCATATACCTGGAGGAACAAATACCAGAGCTTGTTCTGAACCTATCAACTAACATTGCCGTGTGATCTGTATGTGCTATATGTCACTAGACCAATAGATGGCCACATTGCATCACCTATTCTCAATGGAAAGTTGACTGTTTTGTAGAGGACAACACAAGTTTGTCTAGTGATTAATATCACACGTTATGAACATAGGAAATAGAAGACACACATTTGGTCCCTTGAGCTTGTTCTGCCAATCAGTAAGATCATGGCTGATCTGTTTGTGTTTCAAATTCTACATTCCCATCCAACCCGACAAACTCTGATTCTTCTGCTTAATAAGACCTCTGTCTTAAAAATAATGAAAGAATCTGCCTCCACTGTCTTCTGAGGCAGAGTGCGCCAAAGTCGCACATCCCTTTGAGAGAAAACAAAACTCTCCTCATCTCTTTCTTGAAAGGGTGGCCACTAATTTTAAAACAGTGCCCCTCGTTCAGGACAGACTCAGGAGAAGAAACATCCTTTCCATGTCCATCTTGTCAAGACCATTCAGGATCTTATAGACTTTAATCAAGTCACCTCTCACTCTACTAAACTCCAGTGGAAACATGCATGCTGTCTAACCTTTCCTCATAAGACAACCAGGTATCAATCCAGTAAACCTCCCCTGAATAAAATGCATTTACATCTTTCCTTAAATAAGGAGACAAAAACTGAATTGTTCAACATGTGGCTCTCAACAATACCCTGTATAACTGGAACATTACATCCTTATTTTTATGTTCAATTCCCTTGTAATAAAGGATGACATTCCATTAGCCTTCCTGATCACCTGCTGTACCTGTAGGCTAACGTTTTGTGATTTGAACACATGTTTTGAACACACAGATCCACCTGGACCCAGAGACTCATCAACTCACAGCTTCATCGGTTTGTCTACATGCCTCATGATTGCAATTTCACTAGGTTCTCTCCTTCTACCACCTACCGATTTTCAGCTGTTATTGACATGCTTATTATATTCTCTGTAATGAAGACAGAAGTGTAACATTTGTTAGTTACATCTGCCATTTATTTATTATCCACTATTAACTGCATTTCTACATCCCATTCTCACCGTCTGGGGGCCCAATACTCACTTTACTTAAGAGATAACACAGTGTGGAGCTGGAGGAACACAGCAGGCCAGGCAGCATTAGAGCAGCAGGAAAATTGATATTTCTGGTTGGGACCCTTCTTCACTTTTTTGTTTACTTTTTTGCCTTTTTAAATACCTGTTGAAATTCTTGCTATCAATTTTAAAATTTCTAGCCAGCTTTGTCTCATACACTTTAGTCATTCTCTGCTGTTCTTTAAGTTCTGACCAATCATTTGACCTGCTACATCTTTGCGTACTTGTATGCCTTTTCCTTAAACATGCTGCTTTCCTTAACTTCTTTTGTTAACCACAGACGGTGGGTCCTCCCTGTAGAATTTTTTTTCATAGCATAAATATACTTATTCCAAGTATACTGAAATATCCCCTTAAATGTATGTCACTGTGTCTCGATTGATTAATCCCCTGGACTAATCTCTCAGTTCACTTCAGCTAGATCAGCTTCCATGCCCACATGACTGTCCTTATTTAAGTATGAAACACTAGTTGTAGATTGAATCTTCTCCCTTTCAAACCAGATGCAAATCATATTGCGGTTGCTGCTACCTAGGGGTGTCTTAACTCTTAGGTCATTAATTAATTCTGTTACATTTCACAACACCCAGTCTAATCTAACCTGCTTTCTGGTCAGTTCCAAATAATGCTGCTCTAAGAAATTCCCTCGAAAGCATTCTATGAACTCAACCTCATGACTGCCAATCCAATTTTTAGGTAGATTTGTCACGCAATACTACCTCCACACCATCACCCTTACCTAGCTTCCTATTTTTCTTGAATGTCAAAATAGCCTTCTGTTTCAATGTGCCATTCTCCAACCTTCATTTCCCATGTTACTATATTCCTCCTTTACCTTGTGTCTACTAACTTACCTCATTTTCCACGTGATCCTTGCCCCTAATTCTTAGTTTAAGACCCTTTCAACTTATCTAGATTTGTAATTCATAACAACATTTACCAATCTAACAGCTAAAGACAAGTTCACTCCAAGCTAGTTATAATTTGTAAATAAATCCTTTGACGTTTAAGTGACATGAACTAACTCATGAAGCGTTGCTTCCAATTTTAACCATGCGTTTTCGCATGCTTAAATTCCATTTGTTACTGCTCTATGCACCATTCAGTAACACCGTCTTCTAGATTAACTTCTTAAAGATTTCGAGTAGATTAGAGCAATAATTCGACCTTTCCAAAATACAATCCCTAATCAAAATCTCAAACTCCTTCCCTGCAACTGAAATGGGACTTGTAGATATACATGTGGCATATCCTATGTCTATTTTGTTGAACAGTGGGCTCATATTTGTGATGCTGTACAATTACAACAAGGGCTTGCCTTGTGGCCACTTGTTCTTCTCATTCGCCTCCTACAACATCAGTGAATGAGCGGAAATCAGTCAAAGATCAGAATCATCCTTACACATCATTTATGCACCTTTTTTTATGACATGGAAGGATACTACATTTCCTATATTCATCTGTGAATTTCGACATCTCATCCACTTTGAGTTTCAATGATTTCCACTGGGTCATAATTAAGTAATTCAGCCACCTCCGCTTTGCCCCAGTGGTCTTCAGCCATTGGGTCGTACAGCCAGTTTCACAAGCACCTGCTCCTGCGACTCGCACTTCATTAGCCTTTATATTTTCTACTATACTTCTCAAATGTAGCTTTCCTTAATCCACCCACTGATTTTCCTGCCAGTAACTTTCAATGTGCCACCCACTCTTCTTCCTCAATATAAAACCAAAAATGGGAAGTGTTTAATCAATGCAAAGGGTTCTGAAACACAAGGGGAGGCAACAACCAAGTGCTGGACTATTAAGCCAGACCCAGGTTACTGGGGAAATCCCACCAAGGCAGATGGTAGAATCTGAATTCAATAAAATTCTGGAAGTGAGTCCAATGATGACCATGAATCCATTGTCAATTGTCATAAAAACTCATCTGGCAAACCTATTTTACAACAAAGCAACAGGACTAGGTGTGGGGTGCGTAAAAGCATGGAAGGATGGAATTAGGCTCTAAAGTTATTGAACGCGATGTTGAGTTCTAAAGGCTGCAGGGTCCCCAAGAAGAACATGAGATGACTTATAAAAGTCTTACCTTGCGTGACTGCAGCCTTTCAGTTGTTTCAGCGGCGGGAGTCCGGGAGGAAGCGCGAGGGCAGCCTGGGAAGGTAAGCTTTTCGATTATAAAAGTCTTACCTCGCGTGACTCCATTTTTGGAGTAAGTGAGGTAATATATTTGGGCGGTTGCTTTACCCGAAACACTACCTAGGTAGTGTCTCCCACCCCCATCCTCCTCCTCTAACCAAAAAAAAAGGTTCTGAGCACTGATTTGGTAAGGCTACTAGTTTTTTTTTTTTAATAGTCTGTTTGGGAATTCAGAACAGTGGGAATGGATGTTAGGGCAGTTGCATGCTCCTCCTGTAGAATGTGGGAGGTAAGGGTCACCACAAGTGACCCCACTGACTTCATCTGCGGGAAGTGCAACCAACCCCAGCTCCTCGGAAACCGCGTTAGGGAACTGGAGCTGGAGCTGGATGAACTTCGGATCATTCGGGAGGCTGAGGGGGTAATTGAGAGGAGTTACAGGGAGGTAGTCACACCTCAGGTACAGGAAAAAAGTAGATGGGTTACAGTCAGGGCACGGAAAGGGAACAGGCAGTCAGTGCAGGGATCCCCTGTGGCCATTCCACTCAAAAACAAGTATACCGTTTTGGATACTGTTGGGGTGGACGACTTACCAGGGGTAAGCCATGGGGTACAGGTCTCTGGCACAGAGTCTGTCCCTGTTGCTCAGAAGGGAAGCGGGGAGAGGAGGAGAGCATTAGTCATTGGGGACTCCATAGTTAGGGGGACAGATAGGAGATTCTGTGGGAACGAGAGAGCGGTTGGTGTGTTGCCTCCCAGGTGCCGGGGTCCGAGATGTCTCGGATCGTGTTTTCGGGATCCTTAAGGGGGAGGGGGAGTAGCCCAAAGTCGTGGTCCACATAGGCACCAACGACATAGGTAGGAAAAGGGATGGGGATGTAAGGCAGAAATTCAAGGAGCTAGGGTGGAAGCTTAGAGCTAGAACAAACAGAGTTGTTATCTCTGGTTTGTTACCTGTGCCACGTGCTAGCGAGACGAGAAATAGGGAGAGAGAGCAGTTGAACACGTGGCTACAGGGAGGGTGCAGGAGGGAGGGATTCAGATACCTGGACAATTGGGGCTCATTCTGGGGTAAGTGGGACCTCTACAAACAGGATGGTCTACACCTGAACCAGAGGGGTACCAATATCCTGGGGGGGGAATTCGCTAATGCTCTTCAGGAGGGTTTAAACTAATTCAGCCGGGGGATGGGAACCTGAATTGTAGCTCCAGTATACAGGAGGTTGAGAGTAGTAACGTCGTGAATAAGGTTTCAAGGTCGCAGGAGTGTACCGGCAGGCAGTTTGAAGTGTGTCTACTTCAATGCCAGGAGCATCCGGAATAAGGTGGGCGAACTTGCAGCATGGGTTGGTACCTGGGACTTCGATGTTGTGGCCATTTCGGAGACATGGATAGAGCAAGGACAGGAATGGTTGTTGCAGGTTCCGGTGTTTAGATGTTTCAGTAAGATCAGGGAAGGTGGTAAAAGAGGGGGAGGTGTGGCATCGTTAGTCAAGGACAGTATTATGGTGGCAGAAAGGACGT